GAGGAAGTTCCGGATGTATTCTCTCTCTCTCTCTCTCTCTCTCTCTCTCTCTCTCTCTCTCTCTCTCTCTCTCTCTCTCTTCTTCCTGTTTCCTTGTTTATTTGTGTCTCAGGAGCTATGTGTTGATGGTGTTGTAGGAGGGAGGAGGTGTAAGAGGGGAGGTGTTGGAGGAGGAGGTGTTCGAGGAGGAGGTGTTCGAGGAGGAGGTGTTGGAGGAGGTGGTGTTGGAGGGCAGATGTTGGAGGAGGAGTTGTAGGAGAGGGAGATGTTGACGGGAGAGGTGTAGGAAGGAGATGTACACTGGGTGGAAGTGTAGGAAGGAGATGTACACTGGGAAGGAAGGAGATGTACACTGGGTGGAGGTGTAGGAAGGAGATGTACACTGGGTGGAGGAGTGTAGAAAGAATGTACACCGGGTGGAGACAGGAATGTACTGGGTGGGGAACTGCAGGAAGGAGAGGGTCTTCACTGGGTGGGGAGGCAGGAGAGGGAGATGTTGACGGGAGAGGTGTAGGAAGGAGATGTACACTGGGTGGAAGTGTAGGAAGGAGATGTACACTGGGTGGAGGTGTAGGAAGGAGATGTACACTGGGTGGAGGTGTAGGAAGGAGATGTACACTGGGTGGAGGTGTAGGAAGGAGATGTACACTGGGTGGAGGTGTAGGAAAGGGGATGTACACTGGGTGGAGGTGTAGGAAAGGGGATGTACACTGGGTGGAGGTGTAGGAAGAAGTACACTAGGTGGAGGTTTGGGGAGGTGAAGGAGGGAGACACACTGGGTGGGAGAGCAGTACAGGTCATGTGCCCGGATCACAACACAAGGTGACCACCACCACACCAATATTTTCTCACTCATCAAGATGGTGGGTGCAGCTACCTTATTATTGCTTATGAAGAACCAGTTAGGTTGTAAATAGTTTTAATAAGTGTCTGTCCGTGATGTGCATACTAATACCCTCATGTGTAAACTTGTTTTTGAAGGCGTGTCTCTCTGTCCACTATCTTACCACCTCTCTCTCTCTCTCTCTCTCTCTCTCTCTCTCTCTCTCTTCTAGTGTTCGTTTGTCTTCCTCAGTGTCCCCGCAGGGCTACAACTTGCTGCCTCCGCTCTTCTTGTTCTTACTTGTTTACACCCACTTAACACATCTCCTCTCTTCCAGTTTTGTTTATTTTATGTATTATTCTATTGATGTACTTGTTGTGTTTGTTTTTATCTTTGTTTTGATGATCTAAGTGATACTATTGAGACGGGGGATAATTTTACCTCTATACAGTATTTTAATGCTTTCTGCCCTGTTTGAATCATCTAAGTGAGACATCTAAGTGAACCATCCAAGTGAACCACCTTTTGAACCCTCTTTGTGATTACGCCTGGTGAACCTACTAAATGAACCTTCAAGTGGGACGTCAATATGAAACAGTTGGGAGGAGTTCACGACGCTGAGTTGACCATGACTTAACCTCCCCTAACCTAACTTAACATAACCAAACCTACACACTACTAAACCTAACTTAGCTTAACCCCAGCAGAGATATGACAAGTACACACCATATACATACTGAAATAGATAACCATTGCTCGTGGTGAATTTTATGAATATTCACTGTATATCAAAATGGTCTTCCTTATGTGGTAATAAAATCAAGTAGCTAGTTGCATCATTGGGTTTAGTGTTCCGTTTTAATACTAAGAGAAGAAGTGACTTTTAAGATATGATTTAAAGGAAGTGAGTGTTGTGTTTCCCGGAATGTTTTGTGGTATAATGATCCACACCTTGATATATTATGATGGTTTGGGGCTGAGAGGAGAGCATAGGGATGGTCTTAGTAGGTCTGTGACTGAGATAAATACTTATGAGGATGGTGTATGGAGTCTATGGCAGAATAAGAACATGGGGAAATTGGTCTTAGGTTTGGGGCTGAGAGGAGAGCATAGGGATGGTCTTAGTAGGTCTGTGACTGAGATAAGAGCATGGGGGTGGTCTTAGTAGGTCTGGGACTGAGAGGAGGTAATGTCTGAGTGGTGCTGGAGGGCTAAAGAATGGTGTATGACAGGTGTACAATGGGTTCTGAGGTGAAGAGCAGTTGTTACACAGGTGCTGGAGTAGGAGGGATGGTTAACAAGGTCATCAACACCTGTCAAACTTATGTAACCCAAGTAACCTGCAGCCAGGGGTCAGGTCCTGTCTATAGTGAGGTGATGAGGAGTGGTATTGAGGTGATGAGGGGTGGTATTGAGGTGATGAGGGGCGGTAGTGAGGTGATGAGGGGTGGTATTGAGGTGATGAGGGGCGGTAGTGAGGTGATGAGGGGCGGTAGTGAGGTGATGAGGGGTGGTATTGAGGTGATGAGGAGTGGTAGTGAGGTGATGAGGAGTGGTAGTGAGGTGATGAGGGGCGGTAGTGAGGTGATGAGGGGCGGTAGTGAGGTGATGAGGGGTGGTAGTGAGGTGATAGAGGGTAGTAGTGTAGTAGTAGAGTGTGGTAGTAGAATAGTAGTAGTAATGTGATAGTAGATTGAGGTGGTAGAGTGTGGTGATACTGTGATGGTAGAATGTGGTGGTAATGTGGTAGTAGTGTGAGGTCGTAGATTGTGGTCGTAGATTGTGGTAGTAGTGTGTGGTGGTAGAGGAGCGTGTTTTTCTGGAAATAAGAAAACTCAATCTTAATTTACGATGACATTTTGAGAGTTAGAGCTGAGAGAGAGAGAGAGAGAGAGAGAGAGAGAGAGAGAGAGAGAGAGAGAGAGAGACGTCAGAAGGTCAGCCAGTACTGGTGTTGACTCATCTTCATCCCAGCCATTCTTCCTTACCCCCCCCAGCCCTGGACCCTCCCATACACCCACCCCCTCCCATACCCCCCACCTCCCATACCCCAGCCCTCATTCTCCCATAAATTCCCCAGCCTCACCCTCCTAATTGTTTCAGGTTTAAATGTTAGTAATTATCTCGTTGGGTCCAAGTGTTGAAGGAGATCACCTGAAGAATCGCCACCCTAGCTTATTTCACAATAAAGATTAACCGCCCTAATGTCAGCCTAACCTAACACTAACCTAACTTAATCTAACACTAACCTAACACAACACTAACCTAACTTAATCTAACACTAACCTAACACAACACTAACCTAACTTAATCTAACACTAACCTAACTTAATCTAACACTAACCTAACCTAACACAACACTAACCTAACCAAACACTAACCTAACTTAATCTAACACTAACCTAATCTAACACTAATCTTTAGGTGAAAAAAACTGGGGTGGCGATTCTTCAGGTGATCCATTTTATGTCACTCTCCTAACACTGAGAGATACTGTCCGTCACTCTCTTAACACTGAGAGATACTGTCCGTCACTCTCTTAACACTGAGAGATACTGTCCGTCACTCTCTTAACACTGAGAGATACTGTCCGTCACCCTTAACTCTGAGAGATACTGTCCGTCACTCTCTTAGCACTGAGAGATACTGTCTGTCACTCTTCAACACTGAGAGATACTGTCCGTCACTCCCTTAACACTGAGAGATACCGTCCGTCACCTTTAACACTGAGAGATACTGTCCGTCAAATTCTCTTAACACTGAGAGATACTCAACCGTCACTCCTTTAACACTGAGAGATACTGTCCGTCACTCTTCTTTAACACTGAGATACTGTCCGTCACTCTTAACACTGAGAGATACTGTCCATCACTTTCTTAACACTGGAGAGAGATACTGTCCATCACTCCCTTTAACACTGAGAGATACTGTCCGTTACTCTTAACACTGAGATACTGTCCGCCTCTTAACACTGAGATAGTCCGTCACTCTCTTAACACTGAGATACTGTCCATCACTCCCTTAACACTGAGAGATACTGTCCGTCACTCTTCTAACACTGAGAGATACTGTCCGTCACTTTAACACTGAGAGATACTGTCCGTCACTTTAACACTGAGAGATACTGTCCGTGACTCCCTTTAACACTGAGAGATTTCCTTAACACTGAGAGATACTGTCCGTCACTTCTTAACACTGAGAGATACTGTCCGTCACCTTTAACACTGAGAGATACCGTCTGTCACTTCTTAACACTGAGAGATACTGTCCGTCACTCTTCTTAACACTGAGATACTGTCCGTCACTTTAGCACTGAGAGATACTGTCCGTCACTCTTCTTAACACTGAGAGATACTGTCCGTCACTCTTCTTAGCACTTACTCCCTTAACACTGAGAGATACTGTCCGTCACTCTCTTAACACTGAGAGATACTGTCCGTCACTCCCTTAACACTGAGAGATACTGTCCGTCACTCTCTTAGCACTGAGAGATACTGTCCGTCACTCTCTTAACACTGAGAGATACTGTCCGTCACTTCCTTAACACTGAGAGATACTGTCCGTCACTCTCTTAACACTGAGAGATACTGTCCGTCACTCTCTTAACACTGAGAGATACTGTCTGTCACTTCCTTAACACTGAGAGATACTGTCCGTCACTCTCTTAACACTGAGAGATACTGTCCGTCACTCTCTTAACACTGAGAGATACTGTCCGTCACTCTCTTAACACTGAGAGATACTGTCCGTCACTCTCTTAACACTGAGAGATACAGTCCGTCACTCTCTTAACACTGAGAGATACTGTCCGTCACTCTCTTAACACTGAGAGATACTGTCCGTCACTCTCTTAACACTGAGAGATACTGTCCGTCACTCTCTTAACACTGAGAGATACTGTCCGTCACTCTCTTAACACTGAGAGATACTGTTCGTCACTCTCTTAACACTGAGAGATACTGTCCGTCACTCTCTTAACACTGAGAGATACTGTCCGTCCAGGTGAGAGAAAAAAAACGGTGTTGGTTCCCCGAAAGGATGTGAGTATGGTGTGTATATTACAGGTTAGGTGCCTCTCTCAGCATAAGTAGGTACCATCACCCCCCCATCTCTCTCAAAGTGCAAGTAGGTACCATCACCCCCCCACCTTCTCTCTCTCTCTCTCTCTCTCACACAGGTACCGGAGGACTTACCTGTCAGGACAAGGAAACCATCTTAGACACCCACAACAGCCTGCGCCAGAAGGTCTCTATGGGCCACGTCCATAACCAGCCTCCAGCACTCAACATGCGGACATTGGTAAGTGTGTGTGTGTGTCTCTCTGTCTCTACCTCGCTGACAGTTAACAGCGTCACCAGTTGGTTTATAGACAGATAAATTAAAGTTTTTGTTATATATTTGATGAATTCGAGTGAAGAGACAGTACTGTACATGTGTCTGTGTGTTAGGTTGGTATCTGTAGAGGCGTTGAAATCCCCTACAGTAATTTTTTTTTTTTTTTTTTAACGTCCACCTATTAAAGACGATGGTTTAAACTATAACCCTTTGTGGACATGCTTTGTGGTTTAATCAATAACCCTTTAAGGACTACGGTTTAAGTTTCAATTCCTTACAATAACCCCTTTAATACACCAGAGTTGATCCTTGAACCCCCTGATCTGACCCTTAAGCCCATAAATTGACCCTTGAATCCCAGAGCTGACCCTTGAACCCATAATTTGAACCTTGAACCACTAAACTGACCCTGGAACCCTTGAGCTGGCCCATGAACATTATGTAAGGGTCAATTTGAAAGTTCAGAGTTGACATGACGCAAATTTTTAAACCCAAGAGAGAGAGAGAGAGAGAGAGAGAGAGAGAGAGAGTAAAACCTGCATTTCCTTAGTCTCATTCACATATGGCACAAGTGTTAGGTATATTGCTCGTTAAGTGTCTCATGGGGAAGAAACACTTGGTATATTGCTCGTTAAGTGTCTCATGGGGAAGAAACACTTGGTATATTGCTCGTTAAGTGTCTCACGGGGAAGAAACACTTGGTATATTGCTCTTAAAGTGTCTCACGGGGAAGAAACACTTGGTATATTGCTCGTTAAGTGTCTCACGGGGAAGAAACACTTGGTATATTGCTCTTAAAGTGTCTCACGGGGAAGAAACACTTGGTATATTGCTCGTTAAGTGTCTCACGGGGAAGAAACACTTAGTATAACGCCACACTGAGTTAAGTGCCCCCACGTGCCCACCTCAGTACTTCACCTTCCCAAACCTTAGTATAATTCAGCTCACTCCCTCAATGTGTCTTTTTTTATCATCAACTTTTCTACTATTTACTCCAGGATATACCTCGGGAGGCATCTCAACCACGCTATCACAACAAATACTAACCCGGGAACGATAACAATGGATTCCCAGCCATGTGAGTTAGTGTAGTATGGGCGGGAGTGGTGTGACGAGCGCAATGAGTTAGTGCCTTCTGCAGCTGACACCCCCTCGCAGTTTCAGGGGTAGAACGCGCCTCGACTAACGAGATTTCCATGTTTAATGTTCCAGTTTAATGTTAACAGCGTCTGCCAGTTAGATACCATCCCTAAAGGAATCACCGCTCGTGCTGTACATGTCCAGCGAACAGGCGGGGATTGTCCAGACCTGGTTGTGATGGCGGTGGCGGTGATGGCGGTGGCTGCGGCGGCGGCTGCGGTGGCGGCGGCTGCGGTGGCGGCGGCTGCGGCGGCTGTAGCGGCGGCGGCTGCGGCGGCTGTAGCGGCGGCGGCGGCGGCTGCGGCGGTGGTAGCGGCAGTCTAACACACACACACACATGCTTATCAATGATGTCTTAAGAGAAACCTCTGCTCGCTGGAAATATGTCGACGACTCCCCCATTGGGATCAGTGTCAACAACTCGGCTCCCGACTACACCGCCCTCCAGGATTTATTGAAGTCTCCAAAATTGGGCCACCAGCAACCACGTAACCATCAACCATACCAAGACCATGATTATGCAAATCAACCTCTCCTCCGACGTTGTACCACCTCCCTCCATTACTTTGGACCCCAACACACTCCAGGTTGTGGACTCCACTAAGCTCCTCGGCGTCAATATAGATAAAAAACTATATTGGAAACCACACGTCAGTACAGTTGTCAAATCCTCCAGTTTTCGTCACCACCTCCTCCGCCGACTCAAGTCCCTCGGAGTTCCTGCGCCCGAGCTCCTCAGTGTTTACTCAATATTCATACTTCCCAAGCTCAACTATGCCTCTCCTGCCTGGTCTTCCTCCCTAAATGCCACACAACGTAAACACCTAGAAGAAGAGCAGAAGAGGACATGCAAGATTATTCTCTCCCCCTCCTACTCAACATATTAAGAATCGTTCAACACATTGACCATCTCGGCTCTCTCTGATCACCACGACCCCATCTGCAAATTTGGTGAGAAGCTTCTGCACCATCCTCGACACCGACTCCTGCTTTCACCCGAGATCCCTCGTCCGCAAATTGCTGTTTGACGCCACAACCGCATCCAGCCCATACGAGCACGTACTGATAGCTATAAGAACAGCCCAGTCCCAACCATTGTAAAAGTTATCAACAACTCGTAATCAACCAGTGTGTTCCCTCCCATCCATTCTTACCTTTTTGCGCTGTTACTATGTTGAAATATCTCTCTGTAGTATAACCTTCTCCCCACCTAGTTATTATATATCATATTTGTATTACTTATGTTACTTGTATATAATTTGTAAATCAAGAAACCCATTCCCCAATTATGCAACTGTATATTTTCAGCCTTGCGGCTGCCATGCTCTTTCAATAAACCGTAAATTATTATTATTATCACACACACACAACTGTCATGTCAGGAGTCAGGCGGGGTGACAAGAGACAAGAGCAATAATAAACACAATAGATAATAAATAACAAGTGATAAGCGACTTGTGATTAGCAATAATTGACCACTGATGAATGACTAGTTCTCAACCCCCTTAAGTAATACAAGTCATTAGCGTGGGCCGCCTTAGTTGATGGTCACCCCGGAGAACCAGTCATCAGTCGTGGCCAGTCAGGGAGGAGGTAACTGGCCGCCAGCATTATGGTCCAGTTAGTTTCCCCGTTAAAGGTGAATGTGAGCCTTACGTGAGTGTGGAGGGTTGGCTCCTTCTTGCCCCCAGCTGTTTTTGACGAAGCGTGACCCCTCATTAATGGTATTTGTGAGTGATGACTCGCTCACCTGCCTCACCTCTCCTCACTTCCCACCTCTGTGTTATGGCGAGGACACATGTATCATGACGAGAGGACACCTGTATCATGACGAGGACACCTGTATCATGACGAGGACACCTGTATCATGACGAGGACACCTGTATCATGGCGAGGACACCTGTATCATGGCGAGGACACCTTCATCATGGCGAGGACACCTTCATCATGGCGAGGACACCTGTATCATGACGAGGACACCTGTATCATGACGAGGACACCTGTCTCTTGGTGAGGACACCTGTATCATGGCGAGGACACATGTCTTTCATCCCTTTCTGCTGCTGATCTACTGCTGCCACTGCTGTTATATCCACTGCGCGTGCTCTGGCCATGCTGCTGCTATGCTGCTCCTCCTCCGTCGGTTAGTTCAGATCTTCACCCTTCTCAACCTACGGTGTGTACCAGTGTGTAGTGTACCAGGGCGACCTGTGGTGTAATGGTCAGCATCCTCGCCTCGCAAGCGAGCGGACCCGATTTCGATCCCCGTGCAGGGTGTAACTACGGTCAAGTTTCTTTACGCCATTTGCCTCTGTCTACCCAGCAGTAATTGGGAACCTGGATGTTATTCGATTTGCGGATCGTATTCCGGGGTAATGGTTAGCCAGTGGAGTTGTCCGGTCTTTCGGACTATTCTTTGACACTGGGTCATGCAGCTCGTTAACTTAGGGTGTGGTTGTTGTGTTGGCGACAGCTTCTACACCTTAAACAAATTCACGCCGAGGTGGTCCTTGGGCAGGCCGTCCTTGATTCCGAGGGGCTTCGATTATTATTAGTGTACCAGGCTGCAGTGTATCAGGCTGCACTGTACCAGGGTGTAGTGTACCAGTGTGTAATAAACCAGTGTGTAGTGTACCGGGGTGTAGTGTTGGCTGGTGAGACACACACTTAGTATTCTGGCAGTGTGTTCCTCTCTTAGGCACACAACACTAACATGATTTTTTACCTTTGAAGGCAGACCTGTACGAGGACTTGCCCGTGTACTGCACAGGGAAGACTACACCGTGTATTCACTATATAAACATGATGATTTATAAGCTTTGTTTACTTTTGTGTTTAATGATAAAATATGAGGAAATGCTTATAGTGTTGAATTTTCTATCGTATTTAAATATCCTTGTTTGGTTTGTGAAGTATTTTTTTTTATTGGTGGATGTTGCGCTAAGGATTTCTTAAATGTAAAAGAAACATCACAGATAGTTTGTATTATCTGTATATTGGCATATAACCTTGTTTGAACTGTAAGTAAGTGGGGTCAGGATACTGGTTCTTAGTGTGAGGTCCACTTGACACACACATACACATACACGAGGAGACAACATAATGATCAGCTCTACTGAACCATTAATCAGTATGAAGCCTCTTGTCACAGTGCTGAGTGCAAGTACTGTATTGAATGCACTTTTTGTGTGTGTGTGTGTGAGAGGGGGGGAGTCTTTGTGTGTATATATCAATATGTATGTGTGTGTCTGTCTTTGTGGATATATAAATATGTATGTATGTATACGTGTGAGTGTAAGAATACCAAGTTAAAACACTATACCTCACACAGCGTCGTCAGCACACCTGGGAGGTATTATAGCTGGTGATATGTACAGTACACATCCCCGAAGACAACATTATCCCAGGCAACACGGGGAGGAGCGGTGAGACGTGAAGACAGCTCCTAGACGTCAGGGTGAGGTTATTTATATTGATGCAATGGAATGTAGAAGTGACTTAGGTGAGGTCACCAGTAAAGACTACCTTCATCACCACCACCACCATAACCACTACCTTCATCACCACCACCACCATAACCACTACCTTCATCACCACCACCACCATAACCACTACCTTCATCACCACCACCACCATAACCACTACCTTCATCACCACCATAACCACTACCTTCATCACCACCACTACCATAACCACTACCTTCATCACCACTACTGCATCACCACCACCACGCCCTTTTCACCTTCACATCACCACCACTACCTTCATCACCACCACCACCATAACCACTACCATCACCACTTACCACCAACCACTACCTTCAC